AACAGCCGGGGTAATTAAATATAAGGGAGTTCTAACTGATTTGATGTTCTGTTTTGGTTTATTGACGCTGCTGTTGCTGTATTAGAATAAGGATGCGGGTATGAGCGTAAGCTAGACAGTCAATGAAATTATTTTAACGCATACTAAAAAACAAAGAGACAGCTCGTATATCCGGTCGAGACAAAGCCCTGAATGTTCCGACTGCCCTTTAGTCGGTATCAAATAGTTGATTAATGGTGAGAATTTATTTTCAAACTTTGAATTTAACAATATCATGAGTGTAATTTTTTAATGCAACCGAATTTTTGGCCTGAATTTATTCTGAAACGTTTTTGTTGAGCGGGATAATTTGCCGTGCATAAATATATGACCTTAGAATTTCGGCTTCTAAAATAAAATCTTAAGAGCGCCCATAAATTTGTTCAGAGCAGGGTAAATTGGCAATTTTCAGACCTTCAGAACATTACGAAAAATTATAGGAGGCAAATTATCTTTTTGTTTTTGAAATCAGAGAGTCGACATTGGGGTGTTAAAAGTTTTCGTCAAAAACTACTATTTTGATCGGCGAAAACTGACTGTAAAAAAACAAATAACATGATCATAAATAGTCCGCATTTATTTGAATGTCGGAACGTTAATGGCACATTTTAAGCAATAGTTGCTCGATAAAACTGGAAAAAAAAGCCATTGGAATGAATGACAAAAACAAAAGAAAAGAAATGACAAAAAGAGTGAAAACCAATTGAATAAAATAAAAATAATAGAATAGTAGATTTCGAGAAGGAAACAGACCCGATTAATGTTTACAGAACTCATAACAATAAATAAATCTCCATCTCAGATGAACACCCAAATAACCAGATGGCTGTCTAAGAAATGGTGTCATCAAATGGTAGATTGGATTGACACGATCAATTATCCCATCTCTTTTTTATTTCTCTCTTTCTGTTTTTGTTATCCACTAGCTAGAGTTTTTTGTGATGTTGGTAATTCAATATAAGCTGCAATAAAAATTTTTAGTGAAACAGGGAACCAAAACAACTCCAACTTACATGCTAACAAAACTATATAGACGTCTTGTAGCTTCTTTGCAGCCGTCTGTCAATTGGCCAAAAAAATTTAAATATAACCGACTAGCTACTTTGAGCCAAGAGTAGAAATTAAAACCGGTTAAGTTGCAAAAACCGCAAAAAACCTAGTCGAGATTAAAAATTAAAACCTTAGTCTGCTCAAAAACTGCTCAAGATTTCACCAGTTTGAGCGTTTTTAGACGATTGCGCTCAAGTTGTTCATAAACCGATCAAACAATCGCAAGAAACAATCAAACCGATCAAAACAGCTCAAATCTAACAAGAGACGCTCAAACGAAGTAAGTCTTTAGCGTTTTTTTTTCGAAATTTTATCAAAAACTGTATCTGTTGCAGGGCACATGCAACCAGTTCTATAAAAATCTGAGCTCCATACGTATCACAAAACTGAAATGTATGACAGAAAATAATATGAAAAAAGTTTTTAAGTTCGAAAAAATTCTCAAGTTTAATAACTCATAAAAAGTCAAAACAAAACTGCTCATTTTTCAAATAAAAAACTGATCAAAAACCGCTCAAACCGCTCATTCTGAAGCAAAATTTTGAGCGTAATTGTTTATAAAAAATCTTCAAACCTTTCAAATATGACGTGACATTTGGCTGAAAACCTCAACTCGGGAAAATAAATACTATTTTTTGATGTTTATGAATGCTAATTACAGACTCGTTGAAGACATGGTCAAATTAAGTTTTTTTTTTAAATTTCATTGAAAATGAGTTGCATTTCTTTTGATTGAAGTTTTCATTTAATTTGACCTTTTTCGTTTTGTGCAAATGCATACCCCAACACACAGGATTATGACTGAACGAATTCCTCTACACCAGGAAATCTGAGACCAGATAACAAGTGTATGAAGTTAAAGTCAAGAGCTTTGACTTTTTTTTTCATTTAAAGTAATTAAATAATAATTAATTGACAATTAAAATGCAAACACTAGAACACTTCTAAGCTTTCGAAATTGGAGTTAATGACATTCTAGCGATATAATTAAATGATTTTGACAGCTTGACACGTATTTCGCCATGTTTAATCTAACTTTACAATGGTCAGAGCATATGTTTGCACGCTTAAGCTATATCGTATACTGAAACGCATAACAAACTGGATTAATTTTCAAGTTTTCGAAAGCTAATCCAATTGAAGGGACCGAATGTAAGGCTGTAGCTACGATTTCTGCATAGGAGGGTAGTGTAGAGGGGAATTCATCCATATATAATTTATATAAAGAGCGTTTTTCGTCTGAGCGTTTACTTTACAAAATTTGACAACAATCTGGTGGGTTCCTTCAGAAGACTCTGAGCTGCAAATTTGACCTCCATTAAAGACTGCTCAAAGCCCTTCACCTTTTGAGATATGACGTTTTTCTGAATTTTTTTTTTAACAAAATGTATGATTAAAAACAATCACATAATTTAAATTTCTCAATTCTAGAGTGAAAGGCTGTCAGTGACTGTCAAAGTTTGCAATTCTGCCTTCAATTGTGATTGCTCAAATCCCTATAGCTCTCAAAGCAAATTTTCACAAAAAAAACTGAAGGTGTCAATACTATTAGGTCTTAAGTAAAATTTCGCAACATTTGAAATTTCTAGCCTTATAGCTGAGTGCAGTCAGAGTACTCTCAGAGGTTGCAAGTTTTGCCTGCTCAAAACATTTCAGTTCTTGACTATATACCGTTTTTTCCGCAAAATTTCGAAGGTTAGTTATAAAAAAAACTTTACAATGTTTGAATTTCCCAATATAACGATGAGAAGTTGTCATTTTCCTGTAAGGAGCTTTTTATCTGGCCTTCGAATATGACTGCTCAACGACTTTCAGTGGCGGAATGGCGTTTCAATGATCTTTCAATACTTTTACAAAAATTATTTCGAAAAAAAAATTTTAACTTTCAAAACTGTCGATGTCTGATGTCATAACACTCTAGGCCTACAAACTAGTTTTTCAGAAGTATGATCTTTTGTTGATGCTTCAAAAATCAGAACTATGATATATGGATTCGGAATGAAAAAATCTCAATTGATATGGCCTCCAAGTTTGACTGCTAAGATCCAACCAGCCATACCTTTGTCGATCCAACCGACGAGCCATCTGTTTATTCAAATGTCCTTTGTCGTAATTTGTCGTAATTCTTTCGTCATGTGTCGCAATTTCTCAACTAGTACTCCATCTATCTAGTCATTCATCGATCTAGCCATTCCTACAACGATATATCCGGCCATGTGTCGATTCATCTAGGGAGCATTGCTTTCATCAAGCAATCCGTTCAACAAGCCATCCATCTACAAACATGCATCAAAGCATATTTTCATTAATTGTTTCATCCGTCTAGCTATCCATACCTCAAGGCATCCATCCATTTAGCCATTCAGCATCTAGCCATTCATCCAACGAGCCATCCATCCATCATGCTTTCTGTTCATTTATCAAGCAACCCAACTAGCCATCCTACCAAGGTTTCATCTAGCTATCAATACACCAAAAAACCATCTATTCATCCAACAAGCCATCAAGCCAATCATGTCTTTATCGGCCCCGCCATCTAGCCATCCAATCATCTAGGTATCTATCCAGCTACCCATGTTTCTACCAAGCCATTCATTCATCTAGCAATCCATCCAACCAGCCATCCAACCTCTGGTCATGCATCTAACCAGCCATTCATTGGTTCAGATTTCTGTCCAGATATATGCCAATAAAAAATCAAACACCCTCGGACAAAATAGTAGAAAAGCCAGAAAGATTTTTGGCTGTGCCATCTGACATGGATGTAGGTTGTTGTGTGATGAAAAAGATGACATATTAGAAGAAATTTGATGAGCGTTAAAATCTGACTGACTGGCTTGTGATAAAAACTAAAAAGGACAAAAACAAAAAAGTTATTTGCCTTGAAAAAGGAAGATGAGATCAACGAGGCGCTCTATAAGAGGTTAAGATCCATCGGGAGGGGGAAGTGGGCTATGCTGTATTCATTAGCAAAAATGCACATACCAGGCACACCCCTCCGTCCTGTCCTTTCCTAAACTGGTAGCTCGTATGAAGTAGCTCGTATGAAGTAGTTCGTAGCTCTTATAACCTAGTTACTCAACGAAAATTTGCAAAAAAAACTTTGAGAAAATTGCGGGGGCAAAAATTGAATCTAACACTCATACGCGAAAATCAAACCGATCTGTCAACATTTCTGAAAATTGCTGGTCATGAGCACCCCCATTCGGTTTCAAAAAAAAATTAAATTGTTCACTTCATGGCTACTGACTCTAATAATTCATCCCATCCCTTGAAGTTTCTTTGATTGCTAATTTGCCTATTTTAAGCACTATTCAAATATTTAGGTAATATCTAAAAAACAAAACAAATTTACCATGTTTTCACCTTAATAATGAATTGCGTGCATGGAACAAGCACAATTTTATCAATCAAAGTTTCTTTATTAATTTTAGGCTGTATTAACAAAGATACAAAATTCACAGTTTGCTTCCCGAAGTTTTTGCCACAATGCAACATATATGCTTTGTTTTGAATGCCAGATAAAAATGATACTATAACTTGACCAAAATTGTCGACAAAAATGAACAACTCTGAAAACCGTACAGCACACTCTGAGTACATTTTTTTTGCTGCAAAATGAGCAAAAAATGACGGCTGTTTTCCAGTTCCCCTCTATAATTTTTTCTGAAAATCAATATATGAAAGTCTATTCAAAATTTTTTTCTTAATTTAAAACTGCATCAAAATGTGTCAGCGTGAACAGGTGGACAATTTTTTACAAAATTTCTTCCATGCGCAAAAAACCGTGTAAAAAGTTTTTGAACATAGCTTATTTTTGCATTTTACGAGGGGGGTGGGAAACTGGAAAAGAGAAAAAATGGCCTTTGGTTGAATTTTGAAATCCTCGGACAAAAAATGGAAATTTTTACCTGTTTAAGGAGCCATCCAGCTAGTTTGCGAGTTGAGTCATGTCCAATTGTGACTCTTTGGGGACGCCCCACCCACACCGCTTCAACAAGAAAAGTGTCGAACTAGAATAAGAAAAAAAACTAATTGTTTACAAGTTTTGAAAGAGAAAAACAATCACAGAAATTAAATAGAATAAAAAGTGAATTTTATCAGGCTCTTTTCACTTTCCCTACCTTTGAATTTCAACTTCGGAACACTTTTTTTAAACTACAAAAGAAATGGAAAATTTTAAAGGTGGTGGGAGGATGTTGAAAAGAGTCGTTTTTCACAACCAGTTCATTAATTAATTTCAATAATTAAGCTCATTCCAAAAGGTCTTCATGATCAAGCTTGTATAATCATTCGATACAACAAAAATTGATGGCTCTTTCTCCTCCCCCCCCCCCCCCCCCACTTGCAATTTGGAAAAACAGCCAAAATGATATGTAAATGTCAGATGGGTCGGGCGGAAAGAGTTTGAAAAGAGCACGTGCACGTTGTCTAAGTTTGACCCAACACCTTTTGCCACTTACGGTATGTAATTCAAACAGTATGTAACTCATCAGAACAAACAAACGGGGGGGGGGGGGGGGGAAAGACAAGAGGGCTCTTTTTCCTTTTCCCCCCACCTCACCTAAGCATCGATTTCATGGTTTAACGAGTGGTTTTACAAGCTTGAGTATGTTTGTCATGGCCTAATCAGTCCGTATGCCAAATTTTATAACAATCCGACAAGGTGAACAAAAAAGTTCTCTAAAAATTTTGCAGGTGGGGGGGGGGGGGTGTAGAAAAAACGCCAACAGACCAAGTTAGGATTCTCCACATAAATGGTCAATTTAAATTAAATTTGGTGAGCACTGCTTCTAAAAAATATATTTTTTTTCTGACTGGCTGAAAATTCAAACTCAGAACCAAGTAAACACATTCCCCCCTAAACGGTTTGAGGGTGGAGGGGTTTGGTTGGAGGATGTTAATTTGATCCGAAAAAAACGAACTTTTCGACTACCCTCTAGAGTTGAAGGTAATTTATCCACGACAGCATAAGAATCGGGATACGAGACGTGCAGTTTTTTAGAGGGAACCCCTTATTTGTTACACATTTTAAAGAACTATTTTAAATTTTTTTTGCTCATTTGTCGTCTTAATGTTTTGTCGTCTTAATGGCCCGTCGTTTGATTTACTTAGCACCAAGTTTTTATCACATTTCTTAAAACAGTTGGGGGGTCTCGATGTTATCTCGGCTCTTACTGGTAATTTTCAGCCAATCAGATTTGTGCATTTTACAGACAGTCGTTTGAATTTTGAACCCGAATAAAATGCTGTCATGGAAGATCTCAATTTAGGGTGAAGATGTTAATTTCAGGTAACTTACCCCTCCCGGTTTGAACTTTTTGGTCCTTGAGATGGACTTCACCAGGAATCTCTCCCCCGTGTCTCCGAACTCCCCCCACACAGTGATGAAGGGACGCCCAGCGAATGCACCACTGCGCTCTGTGTGTGTTTTAATGTAGTACACAATTACTGCAATATCAAAAATTATTTTCATCAAAAGTAGTCAAAATACTTCACATCCTCAGGTATTCGAAAAATTTATCGTAAGATTTATGGCAATTGTCGTAATAAAAAGCTGTCCACAGGCGTATAAAAAGGGATATTTTAACAGTGACAGTTCAAAAAAATTGTCAAAATTTTTTTTGAGGCATTGCAATTTTCATTTTTTGATCTCTACTAAAAATTCAAATGATCTGTTTTTAAAAAATGTCTGGATTGTACAAAGGCTTCGATACCCAAATTTTTAAAGTTAACTCTTCTAAATGGGCTTTCAAAAGAGGGCGGGCGCCCCCTTCCCTTGTCTCTTAATCAGTTCGATTTTTTAGGCAGCTTGGAAAAAATGCAGTAAAGTGGAAAAATCTCTGGTTTTCACCTGGTAGTGGCTCCCTTCCAATTGCTAACACAGGAACTTCCCGGAATATCTCCCCGTCCTCTTTCTCCTTACTCAACCATCTGTTAATTGACACTCTCAACTGTTCCTTGGTGTGTGCATCCTCCATGAGTAAGTGGTCTATGTGCCAATGGGGACTGTCTCCTGAGTTGTCGTGGAACAGACGCAGTTTGCTCACTTGGCCGATGTTCCCAACGAAGATCTACACGAAGAACAAAAGCCCAATTATCGTTTTGGTGCGCAATAAAAAACAATGAACAGATAATGTCGAAGAAATAATGAACAGCAATCAAGTATTTTCGATCTTTCAAAACTTATTGACAAATTGACAATAATTTCTAAGAAAAAGATAATATTAAAATCTCTTCAATTTGAAAAACGAAGAAATTCACTTGCTTTTTTTTTCAATCTGATTAGCATTTTTTTTTCAATTCAGTTGGTGCCTATTTTTCTATATTTACCTCAAGTTTAAAAAAATATTTCGAAACGAAACTGTAAAAGAAATCTTCATATATTATCCACTCACCATGAAGTCATTGGTGACCCCTGCCTCAAAGAACCCCCCACTTCTATCCACCCCTGATGTGCCCAACAGTACTGTGTCGCTCACTCCCCCATCCTCCCCCTCCCCCACCACAATCAAGTACACTTTGGAGCTGCAGGGGGTTTCAGTCTGGTAGCTGGTAGTCACACTCACACGCCAAACTCCTTCTGAAATAAGAACAAGAAAAAAAGGTGGTTGCAAAGTAAAAAGTATAGAAAGTTACGACCAAAGTTATCTTTGCTGAACAGTAACGAAAAAGTAAATTTTCCAAAAAAATTATAGAAATGTTTTCGGACCAATTTTTGGTCGTTGTTTTGGCATAGACAATAAAACATTTCGTTGAACTGGCCTTTTTTCGAAATGAACATTTCGAAGTATTTTTTCAACAAAAAAGTGTAATTGTGATAGACCATTTTTTCAAGGTCTAAAATATCTCAAGCGTCTTGTTTTTCTCGTTTTCCAATCCACGATATTAAAATAATGCTTAGATCCTTTAAAAATGAGTTATTTCAGATCTAATTCCAGATCAGAAAATTTGTTTTTCATGTTCTTTTGTGATCTGAAAACATCAAAACTTCTGAAACAATTTTTGCTTTTTTTCGATATCTCAATAACCATTTCGGATAAAATAAAAAACTTAACCATTTGAAAAATTAACATACATCTTCAATTAAGTGCGCAGAGAAAAATTCGGTAAATCAATTATAAACGGTCCCTATATCTTAAAGCCAAAATAAAAAAAATTGTCAAAAAAACTAAACTTTGTCTTTTTAGTCAGTTTTCTCCATACTTTTTGAAGAATAAGGAAAAATAAAAAAATATTTTATAAAATTAAACAATAAGGTAAATATCTACCCAAGTTTAAAATATAACCATCAATTTTTTGTTTATTGTCCTTATTTAATATAAAATAACCAAATTTTACTAGTTTTAGTCTTTTACATTGACTATTACGTCATTCCTGTTTTTTTGAAGTAATATTTTCTGACTTTTGGGACATACTTCAGCCATCGAAAAATCGGTCCAGAAAATCGCATAGACTCGTCTTTTGCTCACATTTTTCGGTTTTTGTTGGTAATCATCTAATGTTTTTCAAACTAATCCGTTTTTTTTGTTTGTCAAAAGGTTGATGGTTCTAAATATCTTTTATGAATTGCCTATCTTTCATCAAAAACTCTCATTTGTCACATCTGCTAATAATTAAAGTTGAAAAATAATCGCCTTCCTTTTTTTTCAAACTAAATTATAATTGGTTTTGAAAACTATATAGTGTATTTTATGAATTCATACCTGAAGATGTGTTGTTTATCTTGCTTCCCTTGTTGTGCCCACTAGTTGCTGGCGAGGGGGTCATCTTCTGGTATGAGGTTGGTCTCACAGATGCTGCCCTGGATATTGGAATATCCATGAGTTCGCTCTCTTCTGAGTACAGATATCTCTCTCCATTGCAGAGAATGGTACGCTCCTGTGAAATAGTAACGATAGTTCAGCCCCAAAGAAACAAAAAGGATCTCCCAGTAGGAATTTTCAACAGTAAAAACTCGAAATTTTTTCTTAAGAAACTTTGGGCTCCATTGAGAAAAGAACACAAGCGAAAAACATAAATTTTTCGGCCAATTAATGAAGAAGAAAAAAGATTTCAAGCTCTCTTAAACGTTTTTATAAATATTCGCCTTGGGCGCAACCAAACTGAACAAAATATGGTGGTTCGTTGCGTGTCCCTTTTTTAGTGTTTTTTTTTAATAAAAGTCATGTTTTTCAATTTTTCAATTCCATTCAATGTAGCATAAGCTTCAAAAATTAAAAATTTGTCAAAATGCAATTCATATTCAAAATCACCAAAATATGTTAAATATAAACAATTTAACAATTTTCACTAATTTAATTGGTTAAAAAGCTACTTTGAGGGTTTTTGAAACAAACGTGTGTGCCACGCATGATTGGTTTCCATACAAATCATGCATGGATGTGTATGGTTGCGCATCATCTTCTATGTTGGGCAAACCGGGAACCGACCTTGAGACAACTTCCGAAGTGATCGTCGAACCACTCGTAGCACATGAACACATACTCGGAGGGATTGAACTCCCCCTCCCTAATTAGGACCCTATCCAGGTAGAACCCGCTCCCATACCCCTCTCCATCATGGCCCATGATCACCTGATTCAGACGGCCCAGAGAAACTGCTTCTATGTAGAACACATCCGTCTAAAATGAAGAAACATAAAAAACCAATTTCACTTTCAAAAAATTAGCAAAAAATTGGAAATAACTAAAAATATTTTTAAAAAATTAACAGTTTAGCACGATTTAGCATAGCAAATTTTAATTGAGCCACTAACTCTGTGTGGCAATTAACTTTTGTATGCGAAGCAAACGTCGTCTGAAAATAAATGAATTAACTTCCGTTTTTTAAATAAAATACGACAGCTAAATTTTTACTTTTAACAACTTATTATTAAAGACCACTTGTAGAAAAAGTGACTCATTTTGCCTTAAGATTTCGGCATGGGTTCATTTTCTTTTAAAAAATTGCCCTTTTTTCCCTAATGGCTCATTTTCCCACCTGATTCCTTCGGAACTTCTCCTTGTTTCCGTTCACACTTCTCTCTAAACATCTCTTCCCAGTGTCCCCATTGTCCCCCCACACACTAATCCATACTCTCGAATCAGTCTCGGCCGCCCACCTGTTGCCTATCTGCACTGAGACCACGTACTGCAGCACTAAAAAAGACGGGGGGTGAAGTCCCATTTGTACCAAGGTTCATTTGTACCAAAATGAAAAATCGGTAAAATTGTACCAAAGTTATTCAACTCGATTTGTCATTGATCGAATTGTGAGCCAACGAATTATTACATTGTTTTTTTTCTACTGTTCAAACCGAAGAAAACTAAACAGCAGAATAGTGACCGCCGCAGTCGCGCCAACGTGTTGCGAGCTGACCGACAGAGGCTAGGACTTCATACGAAAATTAGAGCCGGTTATCGCGGTGATGCGGGATTAGCGCGCCCACCGGCGACCTTAAACCAAGAACTTAAAATAGTCGGCTTAGTACTCTTTGGCCAAATGAATATTTTTGGTACTCACGCGCTCTTGGTTTTTTTATTTTGGTACAAAAGGGACTGATTTATCATTTTGGTACTTGTGATTACCCGCCGATGGGGTGGCGGGGGGGGGGGGGGGTGTAGCGATTTGCATGTATGCCTCTTAGCATGTGCAATTTGAAAAGTTACTCACTTTGATACGGTATGAATTAGTTTCAGTTTCAGTTGCAAATGTGAGTATGCGAACTCAGTTCTAATTGCGCTAATAGCCGCATGCTAAGCGGCAATCATGCTATTAGGCCGGCCTTTAGAAAAGATTAGACTGGTTGGCGAGTATTTTTCTGGTTATTCCGCCCAAACTCGTAAACATTAAAATAGATACCAGAAATGACAATGCTCGAAGTTGATTGATTGGGTTGACATCCATACACTGAAAATGCTTATCATACTACTCCATACATCAAGTAAAAAGAAAAAAGAATTGTCTAAACAAAAGTATTTAAACTAATTTCTGCGGCTGTTTGATTCTAATAAAAACAGTCTGGTGCTGAAAAAATCGAGGTTTTTTTTTTAAACGAAAATGCTGATTATACATTAACCATATATGGAAATTGTACGACTAGCATTTTTTTGATGGCCACACAATTTTTTTAATGTTTTTTAAACCGCAAATCGAATTTTGTTCGCAAACAAACACTTTCCGATTGCAAGCAAAATTTAATTTTTTTTGTGTGTGTATAACGTAGTCCTGGTATACACTAGTGTTGGATTTTTTTCCTTTTCACTGAAAAACAAATTTTTTTCAAAAACGCTGAAAAACCGTATTTTTTGAATGGCTTTTTTACGTATTCCTTGATCAATATCTGTAACTTAAGAAATCAAATTTTAAAAATCGTCATTGTTCAAAAATTTTGCCGAAAACAAAAAAATTCGGCAAAATTTTTACTATTGTTATATGAATAGTGAAAGACAGCTCTAAGACAACTCAGGTCGTTTTCTATGCTTTGTAAATGCAACACCGTCCAACCTTTGGTGCTTTGAGTAAACAACGGTCTTTGTCACTTGCGTTTGTTGAACACAACCCAAAAGTTTTCAGAAATTAAATTTTGAAAAAAATCAACCTTTATGGAAGAATACTTGTGATACAATTTTCATATAGGGAAAAGTGCTTATCATAGAGATTTCATACAATTTCCTGTATGTATGAAAATGTATTGTAAGAAATTTTCATTATGGAAATTGTATGATAAGATGTTTTGGTCAACCCGGGTGGCTGAAAATTAGTATGCGACAAGAGCGTCATTTCCCTGGTTGAGGTTCTCGGCTTATGCTTAGTCCCTAAAAGTCGAGAAAATGCAGTTTTAGACTGAAAATCCGCATTCGAGAAGCAAATTTAAGTCGAGCACAGAGTCGAGAAAATTTAAGCCTTTCTATGCGGGTTCGAGCATATAAATTTTCAAAAAAGGACGGTCAAGACAGTCCAGAAAGTCGAAATATGTCAACTTGGTCGAAAAAGTAGAAAAAGAACAATTTTTTGGTGGAGAATGTCGCAACATGAGTCGAGCATCTTGTCGCGGGTTGGATAACTTGTTCATTAGTCATTGATAGGCTGTTCAAATATTTGTGCAGAAAAAGCAAAAAGACCCTGGTTCGCTACAATTCATTTTTGAGAAGATTTTTGCTTACGTTTATCTAATTCTCCGCCTCTTAATCGAAAGGACTGAGGTTCGAGACTGGTTGTCTGCGATTTTAAATTTTTGCAGTTATGATGATCAAATGGCTTTACGTCTCCGACTCTCATTTGAAAGGTTGTTTTTAAGGCGCAAAAAAATCGTGTTTGTTGCTTAAAACTGAGGCAATATTTCGCAGCTCAGAAAAATAAACAAAAAACATTCCGTTAAAAAATGCTCGGCAAAACAGCGCTCTTCTTGAGAATTGTTGCCTGATCCACAGTCAGCGAGCACGGATGAAAGCCGGGCTCGAACCACCGGCCGGTCGACTGACACAAAAAATGATCTTAAATTAAGTGTCACTTTTGTAAGTTAAAAAAAATATATAAGTGATTTCATATGTCAAGTTATAAATTTCGTTATGACAACTTTTTTATTTTTTGGAAAACATTTACCATTTTTGTGATTACAAACCTGGAAACGTATCTTCATTTCTCTCATCGGTCAAAGCTGCCTCTCGCACCGTCTCCAAGTCCCCCACCTCCTCGTTTGCATCTTCTGTTACATCCGTCTCTGCGACTCCCCCCTCATTAACCCCGAAATCAACCCCTCCCCCAATCCACTTATCGAATACGAAACAGTACTTCCTGTTTGAGTCTCGGTTCAAGAGAGTTAGAGAATCGAGGTGCCACTTGAAGGCTGCAGTGTTGTCGGAATATTCGGGTTGTTCTTGATGTTGTTCGGGTTCCGAGGAGGTCAATGACAGGGGTTCCTGATCGAGTTCGATTCGGACTTTGAAAGGGTCGCCGAGGTCTTGATAGTCGGGCTAGAAATCGAATAACATAATTTATCATTAAGTCAAAAAAAAGAATTACGGAAATAGCGAAAACGAACTGAAAAAAATTCATGACCATACAAGTCAAACAAAATGATCAATGGCTCGGAAGACTATTTGACTGTTTGATATCCGAGCTTATGAAAGTTGATTTCTTCCCATTGCAAATGTTTATAAGAACATGTCAAAAAATCGTTCGGCTTTTTTGAAGGTTTTGGCCATTACTTATGTCTGTCAGAAAATTACACTGTCGCGTAAAACATCATCTCAAAAAGACTTTTTTGGTTGGCGAAGGGGTCGAATCAATCAACACTAGATACTACAAAAAAATTTTTTGGGTTATTTTAATTATCAACAAGCAGTTTCAGAAGTTTATGGAAGTATCTAGTGATTCAAGTGACTCTATTTAAGTTATATATAAGCAAAAATTTCGAACCATTGAGCAAAACTTACCAACGGAAACACATCTTTTGTACCCGGTTTCAGAACGGTCCCTTCTTTCTTTAAAAGGTACTCTTTAGATTCGAATGTTCCGATGGTTTTGTCCTCAATGTGATAATAGATGATCAATTTGATAGGAGGAACTGGGCTGTGATTGGTGGTTGAATCATCCAATGAGATCGTCTCAACCGTCCAGGCAGCTGAAAAAAAACATGGTTACCTCTTTTGAGCTCGAGAAGACTTTGATACAATTAAGGAAAAAGATTTGATCTAAATTGCAAATTAATTGGGCTTATACATGCCAAAAAACGAAAATCAAAGCTGGTTACTTGTGCGCACACATTTTTGTAAGATACTTGTAGTTTTTTTGTAATTATTGCAATTATACGCCCGTTATATACCAATGGACATCGTACAACGTTTCTTTCAGGTACGTAACTTTTCCCTAAAATCAGATCCAACTATTATGGGTTCGACACAAACTCAATTGAGAAAAAAATACTCTAAATTTCGACTCTTTTCCACGTTGATCGAAACTTCAAAAACATAGCATCATGCAAATCATTGCATAAGCATCTTAACAAATTCTGATTCATGAAAGCATCGATAATATATAAAAAAACGAATATGTAGCAAGGTTCCAATGCATAAAACCATGTGACTATTATGACCACATAAGATAAAAACAAAAATAAATTTTATCATCATAGTAAAAATAGCAAATACGAAAACGCCAAAAATAAATATTTTCACATTAAAATTTCACGTTTTCTAAAACCGTTTAACGCTAAAAGTAAATGCAGCACAAATGCTTAACGCTTGCATCAAAATCTAAAAAATGACGAAATCCAATAAAAAAGTTGTGAGCTTTTTTTTGTAGCTTTTTGGCACATTCCAAAGACTTTGCTTAAAACATATATGACAACATAGTTGGCACAAACTAAGAACCACAAAACTAAAAAAAGAGGTACCACGTGGGTGGAATTACACAAAACTCTGACAGCATAAGACAATCAAAAAGTTATTTATGAATATCATGACGACATAAGAAGTTACCAAATTTTTATTTTTAAATTTCCATAAGAGCATATATTTAGTTTTTTTTCTGTAGATTTATCAATATATCTGCGTCAAAACGAAAAATCAGTTGGTAGATAGTTGAAATTAAAAGTTGGTAGATAAAAAAACTTTCATTAAAGCTCAAGCTGCCGAATCAACTCTTCAGAAGTCAAAACTGCACCGAATCCCCCATTCAGTTCACAATTACGAGATCACAAAAAAGAGGCCTTCACAAAAATCCAGAACAAGAAAGGTAAGAACAAAATTTTAATTATCATTGACAAAATTCAGTTATTCGAAACTCTGAAAAACTTACGCTGTGGTTGAAAAACCATCATTTTCATAAGCGACATTTGTGTTCCCTACAATTTTGCATGGTTTTGATTGTAGCGCTCTTTTGATGCACTTTTAAGTGTTCATTCTAAGATGGCTTCAATCTTTGCAAATTATAATTTTAAAAATAGTGATCTTAGCATCAAAATTTGATTTAAAAAAAATTTATGGTTGTTGATTGAAACTTTTTTCCAGAAATTATGGCGGAAAACGGTGCTGATGGAAACGGGGGCTCGAAGCCAGGCAATGGGGGCCAGGGTACTCAGAGCGGGGGAACGACCGGACCTCCTCGAGGAACCCGTGAAGGGAAAAACTGAAAAAAACTCCGACACAACAGAAGAAGCATCTACCATACAGGCAAAAAGCATCAAATAGACGGACACGGAAAGACTTATAAATGGAGACTGATGGACTAAAATATATGGAGACCGACTGCTAGACTCAAAAACAAACTGAAAGACTTTAACTTACATAAACTTTAAAACATATGCGTAAAAATCCTTAAACACTCATTGACCCCTGCTAAGAATATTGAAAATGACTGAATTATGAAAGGCGGTCTTCATGGCACAAAGACTCGAATGTGAGAAAAAAAACCACACATACCGCATTTTTTGTACAGTTCTAATCTTTCTGATCTAAAGTAAACTCTAAAACAAGTATTTACTTATGAGCTACTTAAACTTCTGGTCAATAAGTGATTCGGATTATACCAACACAAGCTGTTTAGGTGATTTAAAACTTTATTTCTATTAACTCTGTTGCTGATTAGTTTTGTACAAATAAAATTACTTTACTGCAAATACGTTACTGACTGAAAATACAACTAAAACAAAAACTATTTTGTGTTCCAGAAAAATGTCTGTTGAACTCTTCTGAAAATATAAAAAATTTGAGCATACTTTATTTAAGTACAAATGGAAACTCAGTTTTTCGAGTTTTTTTGTGAAAAAGTCAAAGCATCAAAAGCATCTAATATATCATTTTGCAAACCAAGTAAAAATTTCTTTCTATACCTTTTTATCGAAAGATGAGAAAGTCAAAACTGAACTAAATATTATGGATGCCTACTTCATTTTTTTTAAAATAAGTTATCTTTTTGATTTCTGCGTCGTTTTTGTCAGCATTTTGATGAAAAAATGGTTAAATTTTAGCGGCTAGTTTTTCAATCAGACTTATTTTTTATATCATAAAAAGTACTCTAATGATGATATCGACACGCTGATTCAAAAAGATGTTCCAACTGTAACCAAATCACTTTCGGAAAAGTTACAAGGGTTTAAAAATTGCCCAATTGGTTGTCTGTCTTTTGAAAACTATACTTTGTGTGAATTGAAGTTTTTATTCACGACCCTGAATGCCTAAGCGCAAAATCCTTGAGAGTTGTCAAGTGTTCCACTTTTGAAATGTATTCAAACTAAATTGAGACGATTTTTTGGTCACAAAAGTTTACAAGCTACTCAGATTATAACACTCACTTTTTGATATGGTTGCTGGTTGGTGTGGAATGATCCAATTTAAAAATTCAAGTGTAGCAAAAAAAATCCGAAATCGGTTAAAAACTAGGCAAAAATTTGAAAAACTATCTGAAATCAATTATAAGAGCAGTCTGGTTTTGTGTTCACAATTGGAGTGCTTTTTTTGAAAAGAATTGTAGAAAAATATTTTTTTTCTTTCATTTCAAAGTTTTTTTTAAATTAAGTATTTCAATCAAAAGGAAAAATAACAAAATTTGTGCCAATCAAGAACAGCTGTTTTGCCCCTAGATCTGTTAAACACACCAAAGAAAGGATAAGGAACCGCAACAAATTTAGTGTTTTTTACTTCACACAATATGCAACAAAGTAACATAAAACAATAAAACTTCATATCTTTAGTCACCCTACATACTGTATCTTAAAAAAAAATTTGTATAAAAAAGTGAATCGTTACGAATTTGCATAGTGAATATTCATTTTATTCAATACAACTCTCAAAATAAAAAACAAGCAAAATTTTGTTTTGTTGTTGTATGCATATTTCCAAACTTCATTTACAATAATACATTCAAAAGCTGAAAATTAAACAGAAAAGCTATTATTAGTCCTGTCGAAATTTAGAGACTCAAATTTTACGTCAAAGACATGTGACAGTAGAATATAACGTAGAAAAACTATGAATCAATTTTTTTAAACAAAGCGTAGGAGCTATATGTTAGATGATAGCTTACGTGAACAATTCACGTGTGTAAAATTCTTTTTGCCGTATTCTCACTAATGCATTAGAGAAAAAGTCATTCACGACACGCTTTTTTATCGAAAAGAATTTTAGCAAGATCTAAGAAAACTAATGGTTTTGAATCACAGTCTAAAAATAGAGCATAATAGCTCAATTGAAAATGACAACATAGTGGTCACATAATTTTTTTTAAACAAAGCGTAGGAGCTATAAGTTAGATGATAGCTAACGTGAACAATTCACGTGTGTAAAATTTGTTCTGACGTATTCTCACTGTTGTTTCAATAATGGTTTAGCTAGAAAAAATATCATTCGCAAACTTTTATTGTTGAGTGATTTGATGCAATATCTGAGAAAAAGAACGTTTTGCATCAGATTCTATTTTTAACTCTTAATGTTTCACTTTCGTATGACAACATAATGTTCACATAATGTTCACATCTCTATAAAAGATCAAAGATCGTTGAAGTATGGTAAAATGTCAGAGCAAAATCAAATTGTGGTATAAGTCTGAAATTTCCTGATAAAACTTGAAACGATTATTCGGCTAGACTAATTTTTACATCGTTTTTGTCAGGGAGAGAAAATGTGTAAAAAAATTGAAAAAAAATGCTTCAATTGTATCAATTAGGTTTTGAAGAATTTTGGATCAATTTTTGTAAGATTTGTTTCAGTAGACACCTAATGATTCGCAAATTCAGAAATATCCGACAAAAAAGTATGTTTTTGAAAACAATTCGATCCTAAATATAGAAAATTTAATCAAAACCAAACTTCAGATAGGATGAAAATCGGTTCGTAGTGCCGCTGTTTCTTTTTTTTGTTTTTTTTCATCAACATTAACGTGTAGTTTCGACAAAATATTATTTTTTAGAATACTCAACGTTCTTGTTATCTTGAACCCGGGGAAAAAAGAAACTAATGCATCCAATTGTACTTAAAAAATATTTTTTGACGAAGATAGCAAAAGTTTCGTTTTTTTTGCACTATCTTATTGCTTTCTTAATTTGCGTAATATGTGAAACTAGACCCAAAGATGTCAGTTTGAAAGACAAAAAGTCTACCCTGAATTACCAGTTTTCAGACAAAAAGTCTTGAATTAAAATCACAATTCGCGTTGCAAATCAGAATATCCTGCTTTTAAGTTTTGATAATTTTTCAGTATAAGGATTTATGAACAAAAAGACATCATTTCAAAAAAATAAAAAACAAATTATGAAATCTATATATTGGTAATTAAACAGAAGTGCCAACTTATAAAAAAGCATCGGAAAAAAATGAATAGCTAAACAGCAGCCAATGTATCAATATATGTTTTGAAGTTTCTATCCTTTTCCTAAAAGACAAAACACTAGCTAAAAATATCAGTTCATTGTTTAAGAATCTGTCTGGTTAAAACACTGCGTAACTGCTTTCTTAGATTAACACAATATGCAATTCGTTTGTATTCGATTTCTTTGTGTCACTACACAATTAATAGTAGTTTTTGAGGTAAGTTTTAGTCATTGAGTAAAAACGGATTAAAACTATCGTTTTCGTTGTACCACAGTTTTGGTTTTTCTCTGTCTTGACCATTCGTAAAAGAGATCAA